CTAACCTATTCTCAATTTATACCTTAGTCCTAAACCTAACCATTACCAGTACATAAGCCTAAACCTAATCTATATTCAAATTATACCTTAGTCCTAAACCTAACAATTACCAGTACATACCTAACCCTAAACCTAACTGATGTTCAATTTATACCTTATACTAAACGTAACCCCTAACCCACCAATGACACTTGAACTTTATGGGGACGGGTCTTTGGTCCCTACAGAGAGCTTTGGTCCTCATAATGTAGTATGAGTTGAAAAATGGGTCTCACAAAGTAACATAAACAAGTACACACACACACAAGGAGAGAGAGAAAGAGAGAGAGAGAGAGAGAGAGAGAGGCACATTCAGGTTGCGCGCACGCCCATCTGGCTGTGTAATAACGCGCTCTGACAGATCAACAATGAGGAAGGAGTCGCTGCGGTTGAGCAAATCGTGCACATGTTTGAGGATTTAAACCAGCAACGTTTCTCGAGGAGCTGCAGCAGCAGAATGCAGCACAAGCTTTATGGCACACGCGGCGCCAGGCGAGGACTTGTGCTCAAAGAACGAGAGAGGAAAGACGCAAAGCTGCCAGATATTTTTCTGCAAAGACGCACGCTTTTGTGGCCGTGAGAGAGGACGTTTCGTAATGACAGAAAACTGAAAGGAAGGAAGGATTTTTTCAAACCTCCGTCTACACCTTGTCGTTTTCCTGCTCGGCGGAGTGTCAGAGCGGTTCTTTTTTTTTCTTGGGTTTGACTCATGATTTGGAAAGGAGGGGACTTTTTTTTTTTTTTTTTTTTTTGTATCCAAACAGGGGGAGGGGGGGGCAGCAGAATCGGCGGCGGCGGTGGGGGGGTTGTGTTGTTTCTTTTTCTTTCTCCTTTTATTTGTTCACGCTTTTAGCTGATTTGTTTGGCTGAGGAGCAACAGAGGGACCAGCTCTTCCTGTTTGTGTTTGCGAGCCGGACTGCCTCGCATTGTGAGGCTGTGGCACAGAAAAGAAAAGGCGGCTATAAATAGCGCGTGCCGATTCTCGAAAACTATCACAAGTGGCGCATCAGCGCGGAATCACATCCTGCGCGCAACATTTCATCTGGAACATCTTTGTTGTTGTTCTGCAGAGGATTGTCTGTTCGACCTAGTGGATTATGCGGATTTATTATTATCATTACTAAAACTACGCGCGGAGAGATCTTCCAGTGTGGATTGGCTGTAAATGGATCCATCTGAGATCAGATTTGGAGTCGCCTGACCTGGATTGGAACATTCCGGATTTAACACCATCAACATCCAATTTATCTTCTCTGAATAACGCCCATTCTTCTACACCCCGAGGCTTATTTATTTTTATTTATTTATTTTTTTGCCTGTCTTGGCACACTCCGGTGTTTTTTTTTTTTTTTTTTAGATACCGATGTAGGATTTCGACATGCCCTGCGCTGGCGACCCCAAAGGCGGACGATTATGACTGCAACGGCGAATTGGGTGGCTAACGGGGCAAGCCTTGAGGACTGCCACTCCAACATCTTCTCTCTGGTACGGTATGAATAAAACATGCAAACACAGACAAGTCATAAGACCCGTGGGAGGCACGCTTAAATGTGCGGCTGCTGTGCAAAGGTGAACAATTGCTGGTGTTGTTATTGGGCAATTATTAACAGGGTGGTGAGGGGGAGGGGGGGGCACATTCTTCACCATGAAACCTATTCAATTAACGCATATCATTAAGATGATCTATAAAAACTGCACTTGACGATTTTTTTTTTTAAACAATGCTTTTGCAAATATTAAATGGCAGTTCTTTACACGAACTCATCACGTGCATGAATGCCCTGTTAATGTTGTGGCTTCTGAGGGTTTATTAGAGGCATTGTTTTTCTAGAGGAGAGCGACCTTACAGCATATGATGATCTTAGATGATCTTTTAAATGGGTGTACAAGTTTAAATGTAGATAGATAGATAGATAGATAGATAGATAGATAGATAGATAGATAGATAGATAGATAGATAGATAGATAGATAGATGTTTTGTTAATGACAAGAATTATGTTTGGAGAAGTCAAGATCTGGTTTAAACCCTAAAAAACACGGTGGCAGTTGTCAAGCATGGTAGTGGTAGTGTCATGCTGTGATACATAAAGTGGATGGAATATAAAGAAGGAGCACTGCTTCCAATTTCTTCAACTTCAATCTCAAATCAAACCAACCATTTTAAGTAAACTGTACCAGTTTTGTCAAGAAGAGTGGTCAATCATCCATCAGGTTTATGCTTGTTGATGCCTGCAGTCAAGGTGCAGCATGCTAAGGGGCATTTAACTAAATGTTAGTGGGGGTGTTGTTGTTTTTTTAAAAGAAAAAAAAATAGCCTCTACGTATAGCTTTAAATTAAAGCGGATTAGAGAAAATCAACAAATAAAAAATTGTATACCCAATTATGTTTTTTTCACATTTTTGAAGTCATTTTATAATTCTTCCACCCTTAAAACTAATTGTTACATTCAATCATAAAACAGAAAAATTATTGACATTAATGCCCATGATGAGTGACTGTAAACTTGACTGCAGCTGTAAAAGGTTTTAGGCAGACCAGCTATTGAAAAACTCACAGATTTCCTGCCATTATCATTTTTACACAAACATTTGTCCGTTACAAACCTATAATAAAAGGGTGTTTCTATTAATAGAGCCATAAACCAAAAATGGAGCGTTTCTCTTCTGCTAAAAATAGTTTCAGTGTATGGCTTTATTTGACAAAAAAAAAAAATCATTGAGGTGATTTTGTCAATGCAAAGACACACTTTGGAAAAAATCCCTTTCAGTAAAGCTTAAAAGAAACCGTTTGGACTCTGGGTGCAGTGTCTAGTTCTGAGGCGGAGGGAGACAGAGCAGTGTGTGTTTTCACAGTTTTCATCCTGCAATCAGTGAGTTAACTGTCTTACCACAACAGGCAGCCGAGTGGAAAGGCATGCGGTAAGACTGAGCTCATGCAGGAGCGAGCTGCTGAGAACCACAACAACACAGGAGTCCTGAGGGCCTTTCAGGTGATCGTGCAGGTTGTGAACCAGCAACATCCCCTATTACGCCACAGAAATACCTCCAGAGTTATGTCACAAGGAGTAAACAATGGCTTTTGAGGAGTCTAGATAGCAGATTGTAAAGACTAATGCATTTTAACATTTTAGACTCCCAAGTTGAAGAAGAACTGAATTGCACATATTTTAAATTTTCTCAGCTTGACACAACAGTGATTGCATTTCTGACGCCTTTTCATCTGATGCTATTCCCCCCGTGGAAAAAAAAAAAAGGCTTTCATTCACTCACCGAGGCTTTATTGGCTATCATGAACATCCCTTTCAAACTGAGGGTGAAAGAGACCATCCATCAGCTGGCTTGTTGAGAATATTTATGACTGGCAAGTGCCGCGGTGGTTACTAACTGGCAGGGTTCCTACAGAGAGAAGTCCAAGACATAGCAGAGCGGTAATGACACACACACACATGCACAGGTCTCCAGGTTGAACACAGCAGAGACAACGAGACAGACACGGCCATTTAAAATGCATTTTATGGAAAACGTGGCTCAGAAAGGCTCAAAGGTGCAGCAGAGTTAATGTGTATGAGAGCATTTTGAGCAAAAAAAAAATAAATTGATTCCTTATGAAATGTTTGAATTTAGAGCTCAAAAGCAAATTTTTTGGTTTATTGGTCATTTGTCAAGTCAATAAAAATAACTCAGATGTTTATCTGTGCAGCTAATGGAACATTTTTAAGTGAGCTGTAACCCATAACTTCTCATGGCTGCTTCTAAACAACAGAGAGCACATGGCTAATTAACGCCATTACTTATGCAAAGTATTCTAAGCTTGGCCAGTCTGTCATCACCTCATTATTGCTTCAACTTTCATGCACTTTACCCTGCACAGCTACTTCCCTCACAGAGTTCTGAAAAAACAAAATACTTTTCACATCTTACTTGAGACATTTGTAGAAAGACTCTTAAATCTGAAACAGCAACAAACTAAAAGGCACTCCCGCACACTGTCCAAACATGCACAGATTTAATGTGTTGTTTCAGTCTCTTGACATTCATTAGGCATCAATTTCAAAACAAATATCATCTTAAACAAGAAGTTGTCTTCAGTGTCCGACCAGTCGCATAGATATTTCAAACATTACAAACCAGTCATATAATTAACACCAAAACAATGCAAATGTATATAAAAAACATATTTTAATGGTTCATAATTTTTTGGTTCTGCATAATTGTGCTCAGCCCATTTATTGTCTTCTAAATTTAAAGTCCTTATAATGAAATTTGCACTTGAAGATATTTTTGCTTCATGTGATATTTTATGGTTTGTCCTTAAAAACTTTAAAAACACTTTTTAAATAGATACAAAGTTATTTTCTATTTAGGTTTATATATATTCAGGTTTATATTTAGATTTAGGGATGTTTCTCTATATGCATTTTTTGTTGATATGCTTTTGCACAATTGTGATGTTAATTATATGAATGTTTTGCATTGTTTTACATCACAATGCCCTGGAAGCTTTTTACTGACGGTATTTTGTGCAGACATTTTATTCTGTTTAGTACTAAAGCACTTATTTACTTGCAGAAGTTAAGATTTCGGTATGCATTGCTAATTATGGTATCAGACAAAAAAAGTTGATCTTGAACTATATCAAATGGAACAGTTTGAAAAAATGTACTCCTATGCATTTCTAGATATGCAATTTTAAAATGCAGGAACACACTTAAGCAATGAAACAAACACTTCTTTTTGCATACAATACTCAGCTAATCTGAATTTAAAAACATAAAAATACTTTAAAATTGTTGATCCCAAACTGGTCTTCTATGGGCATCACCACTGTTGACCCATTTTCAGTCATTTTGGCAGTTTCTGTTGCAAGTGTTCACAAATGTTGCTTGCAGAATTTTAATCTAAGGACAAATTACTCATTAATGTGAAAACAATTGTGCAGATTTTGTTTCTTTTATGATTTATTTTTATTTGTTTTGAACATCCTTCTTGAGATCGCAATGAGTACCTTAAATCTTCCATAAGTGATACCTGTGTTGATATGGACATATGCTAATGCATTTTATAGGTAGAGCTTCATTAATGATGATAAGACACGCGTCAGGGTGGGGAATTTTCCAACCTTTTCCTTCGAGTCAAATAGGTTGTGTTTTAGGTAAAAAGTCTCTGGGCGCTCCAGTCTGACAGTCTGTTAAACAGCATTCCACCATGCAATAACCTTGTTCTTCTCTGATTTGCTGGCTGATATTGCAACCCACAACAGTAAAAAAAAATGTAAATAAATAAAACTAGGTTATTAGAAAGCACAAGTGCTCATACTGTAGGCTTTTATGAGGGCATGGCTGATTTTCTGGTGTCAGATACTTTGGATGGCTGCAATCACACGACCCACAAAACAACTGTCTCGTGTGCGGGTGACCAACCGCCTGTGACTGAGAACAAACTAGCCACTTGTAGGTGGGAGAAAAGAGCTGAGCTGGTGTGTTGAAGGCTTTCAAAGGGTTGAAGGACTGCAGCAGAATCTGTTTTCATTTTAGAAAAGTATTATGACTGATGTGCATTTCCTGACTGCAAGCCTCAGCCTATTTAAGAGAGAAACCAAGAGTGAAAGAGTGAGACAGAGCACAGGAGGGGGGTGATTAGAGAGGGAGAGCGTAATGAGAGAGGAGAAGAGAAAACAGACATCTGTGGACTGGGCAGGTTCCTTTAACAGTGACTCCCAGCCTGATTATGAAAGGCAAAGAGGAGACAGTTAAAAAATGGCCCCGCAACACAGGAAGCCTGTGTGTGTTTATACTGAGCACATTGTGAACCACGCAGACTCAGGAGAGAAACTTCAAACACTGACCATATTATACACACATTCACAAACACAAGTAGCTAAGAGAGGAAAAATACCCCCATTGCCCACACAAACAAACGCAACTGTATAACGCACCCACACTTCAGAGCTTCGAATGCTTCCTGAATCCCAGTGATGCAGGTTTGTGCAAACATGATGCAGAAACCTTCATTAAGGGACTTCTGGCGTTCTCCAGACAGAGGTGTAACACTGGTAATTAAGTGTCCTCAAGTAGAGCTCTAATGTGATCAACTAAGAGGTGCTCATTAGCTGAGCTGTATCCCAATAGAGAGCTCCCTTGTATAACGATGACGCTATGCTTTCTGGTGAGGAAATAAAGTGCTCAAAGATGAGGTTGTGGGAGATAGCTGTGGCGCTATGATTTATGGCAGGTGAGCGGCCACGGCTTGTAGGAAGGAGCAGGTAATCAGGAATGGTGCCTTTTTAATACATCCTGTTTGCATTTCCTTGTTATTAATGGTAGCGGTGAGCACAAGGATGCTTGGAGATGAGAGAGAGGCAGTGGTCGGACACAGCGTTTGCTGAGCCAATGAATCATGTGGCGTTAATGCAGACCTGGGAAACATTAGAAACCTTGTTATGTTTTGTGCTGATGCAATATTGAAGAGCTGAAAGTACAGCAAA